CCAAAGTGAGCTGGTATTATTTCCCGTCTCTCACATAGAATGCTAGATGGGCTGGAATTTAGTATTTTCCCCTCTCATGTATGGAAGGCTGGAGTTAGATGTTTCCCAACTCTCACATTGTTAAGCTCTGAGAAACCGCGATCAGGTTAAGCGCTGTTTAACTAGTTTCTTCTGAGGATGAGCCTTGGTAGGCCTTGTTAATAAGAACAATACTCTAACATATTTCAAAATGGCTTTTTTTTTTTTTGCCTTCCCCATGCTGAAAGCAAGAAGGGGATTTTCACCTATGTATACCGTAGAATCTGATCAAAGTCCTGGAGGTAAAGCACACAGGTTCTCCCTATGATTTCACTTCTCTTATAATGCTAAGAAGAGTTGTTGATTTTTCAATTTCCTTAGCTTTTTACTTAAGACAGCGTGGTGACTTTCAAACTTCTTACATGTGAAACTGCAAACAAAAAATCATTATATATTTTTTATTCATTTACTCTTTCTTCATTCATTATTCATCAATTAATTGAATAAAAAGTATTTACCAAACATATGTTAGATCCTACTCTTTGCACTGTGGACACTATAATAAACACAATAGAAATAACTAAAGGTTAATAAAACTTTCATTCTGATAGGGAAAGTATATTTCAAAAACATAAAATATCAAAATATAAATTGTAACAAGTATGTTCAGAGTAACAAGTACGTGTCACAGAAAATCACACGGGGGGAAAAAAATAAGTTACTTCTAAATATTTCTTCATTTATATTTTCATTCAAGTTTTCCAAAAATATAGTAGATACTTACTTTCACTTCTGTGTTTCCAAATTTCATAGTTACTATTTGGTAAGTGCTCAGACTATGCAGAATCAAAGGGAAACATAATTTTCATTTTCTAAACTTCTTTCTGGTCTTATCAGCTTTGAAATTTACTTCAGTGGCTAAAATCAACCTCAGTAACCATTCTGAAAGAGTTTATCAAGGTTCAAAGGAAGGAGGATCATTTTGAGATCTAATTAGTGAAATAGGCAACAATGAAGATATAACTCACTAACCATGAAAGACTCTAATTTAAATTGTGATGTTTATCCAGGTCATCCTTTGAGCACCTCCCTTCAACTTTAATGTGCCTCTCCCAATGTCTCACAACTCTCCCACACTCTGCTGGAGGTAACATTACCACAGTGCTAACTGGTTTAGACCTTTCCTTATCTTCTCAGCCCTTCCAATATGTGTATGTCCCAGGATCCCATCCCTTGGTACATTTCAAGTAAGACCTATAAACATTTATTAAAAATAAAAAGCAAGGGCTGGGGTAGCGCATTTGCCTAGCATGTTTGAGGCACTGGGTTCGATTCTCAGCACCACATATAAATAAATAAAGGTCCATTGACAACTAAAAATAAAACTAAAAATAAATAAATAAAAAGCAAATAAAGTGACTGTTTCTTATTGTTTTTAATTTGATGCCTTTATCAGACAGTTAGTTTTATGTTTTTACAAACTCACCACACACACACCCACACACACACACACACACACACACACACACACCTTCTAATGAGGAAAAATTTTATATGAAAATTTTTACCAATGACATTTTTACAGGATGAATTTTTGTCACATGCCTTGAGGCAAGTAGTTAATAATTAAAAAGAAATGGATCATTTTAAAATCTGCTCTTAAATATCACTCCATTGTTAAGAAGAGCATTTCATGCAGACTGGGAACATATGGGCTGCTGCAAAAAAGGGTTTGTGAACAGGTAGATTCAATCCCAGGCCTACCCCATCACCTGCTTGTAAATCCAACTGGCCATAGCTACTAAACTCCTGCGGAATCCTCACTTAAACAGGGCAGCAGTGGATGTTCACAATGTAAGCACTCCATTATGGCATCTGTTTGTAAAGGATTTCATCCTATCACTTTTTCACAAGCCAATGGATAAGTCATTTATGTTTTATGCATGGGCTTCATTAAGCAAAGACTCACGACTCTCAGCAGGTTGAGGGATGAAGAGGTGGGGCTGAGTTCTAAACTGGAGCATGGCACAGAACAAGAGACAAAACAATTACATGCTCCAAGCAGATAAGCCTGACTTGTATTGCATGCATTGAACTCAAGTCCAGCTGTCTGGTCCAAAGGTAAGAATGTCTTTTAAAATGGATGATGGACACAAATATTCAATATACATCTCATGTATGTATATACATACATACACACACATACAGGGACAAAGTAGCTCTTAAAGTAAGAAGCACATTGTCAAAAATTTTGTGAACAGGCAGCATGAACTTCAGTCACTACCTTGGGGTATGGCCCAAGTTTTAGTCATAAAGGAGTGATGGGTTGAGAAAAAAAGCAGGTCCACAGTCTGATGGCAATTATTACAGTTTAGATCTGGAATGTTTCCCAAAAGATCATGTGTTGAAGTAGTGGTCCCTGTGGAGAGTGGATGAGCCCTGGTTATTGGCTGATCCTGCAGTGGAGGCAAAAGCCAAGCCTGGGAAACATTCTTTGCCAAAAGGTGAGGGTGTGAACAGCCTTGATAGTAGGCTGTGATGCTATAGTTATCAGGCATTCCAGTACAATGGGTTTTCTGGGTACAGCAGGATAGTCACAGGATGTTCCTAACACTGTCAACAGCAGGATATTGCGAAAATGTTTCTAGCTCTGTAACTTTTTAGTGCACAAAGAAACCTTTTCGTAACTAACAAACTTGAACAATTTACACTGTGCCTATAGTTAAACTTCCTGATTATGAGACCCTATATAATAAACTTGTAGAGCTAGTTCTGGGTCACTGTTCCTCCATCAGAGGGCAGTGTTCCACCTGGCCTCAGCTTTGCTTAAAAACTTCTCTGTGCTTTTCCCTCTCTCTCTCTCTCTCTCTCTCTCTCTCTCCATAACCTTTCTTTCCTTTTATTTATTTATTTATTTATTTAAATGTTAAAATTATTTAA